AGTACAGACCGGACATTAATTTTCGAAGTTGTTACAAAGGAAATTTATGGGTATTTTGGATTATGTAATGTAGTTTCTCTGTTGGAAAATGTCAGATGTTTATGGACAGTGACCTTGGCTCCAGGTCATTATTTCTGTATTCTTTCCTTACATTTTTTTCTGCTCTTTCCTTTGTGTCTTTAGTTCGTTGGATCCTGCCACAATTCCGCGTGTTTTTCTCTCTCATTGAAATTGTTAGTTAAAAAAGCAGGATACAGCATGTAACGTTCTTGATTGTAATTTGCTCCTTGAGGTTGCCTATAGTGTTTTAAATTTAAGATCAAGAACTTTATTCACTTCCCTTTGGACAAAATAAAACAAGATTTCACCTCAGTGGTATGTCTTAAAGGAAGCTAAAGGCATTTGTTTAACTTTTCTGTTTTACTCTGAGGGCATTTTGATGATCACCTACGTGTGGTCTTCTGAAGTGTTCCAGTCCCTGTAGTTGACTGTCAGCCATACCCCAAAGGTGGGACCAAAAGGATGCAGCTTAAAGCTGCAGAAAAAATAGTTGGCTAAAAACCACCAGCAGATTGTTGGTGAGGGTCACCAGACACAGGCGTGGGCTATATTTACCTGCCTCCCTCCTTTTCTGGAGAAGATAAAGGTAAACAAGCACCAGCTGCCCTGGGATAGTTTAAATGGCATTTAGCCTGGAAGAGTGTGAAGATGCACCAGATGTGTCTTTTGTGTCCTTTGTAGCCATTGGGTCTATGGAAATTACTCTGCCCATAATTTTGGCTGGTTAACATTGCTCTGTAAGTCCTATTTAATTGGGGTCATAGTGGGAGGAATAAATGACAGATTATGACTTTGGTATTGAATAAATAGGAAGAGAATGCTTTGGGGACCAGACCTATTTGTCATAATGTAACAGTTATAAATATATGAATTGCTTTCTCTTTATCTTAATATCTAATTGATAGCTTAATATCTTAATGCTGTAGTCCTCTGTTTTAGGTTGGAGCTCATACCAGGCACTTGAAGATGTGTCTGTTATGTAACCACTATTTTGTGTTAAGGAAGTAACAAAGCTTTTAAACACAGAATATTTTAGTTCTACAAAAGTGCTTTTGGGGCGCCTGGGTAGCTCAGTCGGTTGGGTGTCTGACTTAGGCTCAGATCATGATCTTGTAGTTTTTGAGTTCAAGCCCCTCATCAGGCTCTGTGCAGTTAGTGAGTTTGAGCCCCATGTCGGGCTCTGTGCTGAGAGTTCAGAGCCTGAACCTGCTTCAGATTCTGTGTCTCCCTCTCTCTCTCTGCCCCTCCCTCTGCTCCTGCTCTGTGCCTCTCAGTCTGTCTCTGTCTCTGTGTCACTCACAAATAAATAAATATTAAAAAATTTTCTTAAAAAAGTGTTTTTGCTTTTAATAGTCATTGTTACATTCCCCCCCCCTCCTCAGAAAAGAAGGTGGCTGCCAAGGAATCCTTCAAGAGCATAGATTGAGTGAAAAGGACACGGAACAAAGGATAGATCCCAGGGGTGAAATGAGGAAGTTCTGTAAATAGATGTGCTATTTTCCTTTGAAATGTCTGGCACACTCTATGTAGCACAGTGGTGGTGTGCCGGGGGGCTGCGTGTCTGATGAAGCATTTCATGTTGACTCTCAGAACAGTGCACACGTGGCAAGGGCATCTGGATCTTTCCAAAGTATTATACTCAAATGACAAAACTTTTTTTAAATTTAGCATACTTGGCAATATAATCCTGCCTTTTCACCTGCATTCAAATAGTCACTCTTTCACCTTTTAACACCCCGTTCTCTTAAAAAAAAAAAAAAAAAACAGGTAAGTGTTAGCTTGGAATGTGCTAAGGTAAACCTTCATTTTCTAGCGAGAAACTGGCACAGAAATGTGAAGTTTTGCTTCTTTGGTTCATCTCATTACTTGGAACCTGAGGCTATTCCTCAGTCTATGGGCCAAATCCTACATGTCTTCCATGGCCCAGCGGAAGTGAAAAGCCTGCCATAAAATGCGCTGGGGTCATGTTTAATCCCCTTACTGGTGGTCTCACAGTTATGGTTTATTCTCTTCAATGGTGATTTCTGTCTTCCTATTTTATTTTTATTTGAGAGAGAGAAGGGGAGAGGAGTATTCTCTTTAATGGTGATTTCTGTCTTCCTATTTTATTTTTATTTGAGAGAGAGAGAAGGGGAGAGGAGCAGAGGGAGAGAGAGAATCCCAAGCGGGCTCCACACTCAGTGTAGAGCCTGATGGGGGGACTTGATCTCACAACCCTGGGATCATGACCTGAGCTGATATTGAGAATCACACACTTAACTAACTGAGCCACCCAGGCACCCTCTTCCTATTTTAAAAACAGTTTTGACTTCTCTTTTATTGTCTCTCCTCCTCTCCTGATTGTGAGCTTTGTCCCTTGCCCTGCTCAGGCACACACTGCTTAACTCATTACACGTGGCCCACATTTCAGTTAAGTGCTTACACACTTAAGAATTTTCTGGCATCTGATGTATGCAGAGCATAACCTATGCATTTTCTTTTCTTTTTTTTTAATTTTTAAACATTTATTTCTGAGAGAACACAAGTGGGGGTGGGCAGAGAGAGAGAGAAACACAAAATCTGAAGCAGGCTCCAGGCTCTGAGCTGTCAGCACAGAGCCCGACACTGGGCTTAAACTCACAAACTGTGAGATCATGACCTGAGCCAAAGTTGGATGCTTAACCAACTGAGCCATCCAGGGACCCCTCAACCTATCCATTTTCAAGAAGACACACAAGTCTGAGATGGGGTCTTTTTACCAATGTTTACCATATTTGAAAATTTACTGCTCTGGGCAAGAGCAGTTTAGGGGCTGAAAAATCATAAACACTTTAAGGAAATATCAAAAACGAACAGTACTATTTTTAGTGCCTTTACAATAAATAGAGAGCCATTGTATCAATTGAAGAAAAACACAGGTTACATTTAATTTGATTTCTTTGTATATTTGGCATGTTTGATATATAAAACAAAAAATAGAAATGTTTATATTTTCTGCAGTGTGTGAGGGAACAGGAATTTGAAGGTGGAGTGAGTTGGGAGAGGGCTATATTTCTGTGAAGATTTTAGTAAATTTTCTGGATTTTTTTTCCCCATATGGAGAAGACGTAGGACACAAAAGCATTAAATGTTGCTATTGATTCAAAAATTAAATCATGAAAACATTGCTGAGAAAGATTAAAGATCTGGAGCGCCTGGGTGGCTCAGTCGGTTAAGCATCTGACTCTTGATTTCAGCTAAGGTCACAATCTTACGGTTTGTGAGTTTGAGCCCTGGCATCAGGCCCTGCGCTGACAGCACAAAGCCTTCTTGGGATTCTCTGTCTCCTCTCTCTGCCCCTCCCCCGCTGGCTCACATGTGCTCACTCTCTCAAAATAAATAAATACAATTTTTTAAAAAATTTTTTACATGGAAAAGATCTAAGTAAATGAAGAGCTGTATTATGTTCATGTGTTAGAAGACTCCATTCTGTTAAGCTGTTCGTTCTCACCAAATTGAGCTATAGATTTAATGCAACCCAATCACATTTTGCCGAAATGAACAATGTGCCTGTGAAACTCCTATGGAAAGGAAAAGGAGTTAGAACAGTCAAAACTTGGAAGAAGAACAAAGAGAGCTAATGCTACTTGATTACTGGAGTTATTATAAAGCCATAGTAAATCAGGACAGTATATTAGCATCAGGATCACCCAAGCAGACCAGTGGGTCAGAGGAGTAGGTCCATAAATAAGCCCACCCGTATATGGCAACTGACTTTTGACAAAGGTCCAAAGACCATGGAGTTGTTCCAGGACAGTCACATACCCATGTGCACGTTACAATTGGAACAGTTGGATATCCATCCGCAAGGAGGAGAAGGAAAATCACCTCAGTCTGTCTGTCACACCATACACACAAATCAACTCAAAATCATAACCTAAATGTAAAACCTACAACTCTAATACTTGGAGAGAGAAGAAAACTCTTGTGAGCTTGAGTTAGGCAAAGATATTTTAGATACAACATCAAAAGCATGATCTGTGAACAAATTGATGAATTGGACTTCATCAACATTAAAAGTTCTGTTTTTCAAAACACATTATTATGAGGGAACATTATGATAAGCCACGGACTGGGATAAAATATTTGTAAATCAGGTATCTGTGAAGGGTTTTGTATGCAGAATATATAAATAACTCTCAAAACTCAATAGTAAGGAAATAATTTTAAAAATAGTCAAAAGGTTTGCATAAATATTTCTTCAAAGAGATTATGGATGACAAGCACATGAAAAGATAGTCAACATAATTGGTCACTAGAAAAATGCAAATTAGAAGCACAATGAAATACTACTCGTACCTGTTAAAATGGCTAAAACGAAACATCGACCACACCAAGTGTTGCTGAGCTGAGCATGTGCAGTAATGGGGACTCTCACGTGGCTAGTGAGAATGAAAAATGGCACAACCACTTTGGAAAATAAGTTGGCAGTTTCGTAAAAAGTTAAATGTACGTGTACCATGTGATCCAGCCATTCCACTCAGGTATCTATCAAAAACAAAAAATGGGGGCACCTGGGTGGCTCAGTTGGTTGTGTCTGACTTCAGCTCAGGTAATGATCTCACAGGTTGTGAGTTCAAGTCCCATGTCAGGCTCTGTGCTGACAGCTCGGAGCCTGGAGCCTGCTTCGGATTCTGTGTCTTCCTCTCTCTCTGCCCCTCCCCCGCTCATGTGTGTGTGCGCGTTCTCTCTCAAAAATATTTAGAAAACAAAATGAAGTGCATATAGACTTGTACACAGATGTTCATAGCAGCTTTGTCTGTATAGCCAGAAGTTTGAAACAACCCAACTGTCCATCCACAGGCAAATGGAAAAAACAAAACAAAACAAAAACTGTGGCACATCCGTACAACAAAGTACTTCAGTAATATAAAGGAGTTAACTATTGAAACACATTATAGCATGGATGAATTGTTATATAGTTTCGCAGAGTGAAAGAAGCTAAATAAAAAAAATATATGCTGGGGACACCTGGGTGGCCGACTTTGGTTCAGGTCAGGATCTCACAGTTCATGTGTGAATTCAAGCCCCACATGGGGCTCACTGCTATAAGTGCAGAGCCCGATTTAGATCCTCTCTCCCCCTCTCTTTGCCCCTCCCCCACTCACATGTTCTCAAAAGTGAATAAACATTTTTTAAAGATTTTTAAAAATTTTTTTACATTTTTTTTTTTGAGAGACAGAGAGAGTACAAGTGGGGGAGGGGCAGAGAGAGAATGAGACACAAAATCTAAAGCAGGCTCCCTCCAGGCTCTGAGCTGTCAGTACAGAGCCCAATGGGGGGCTCGAACTCACAAACTGTGAGATCGTGACCTGAGCCGAAGTCGGACGCTTAACCAACTGAGCCACCCAGGTGCCCCTAAAGATTATTTTTTAAAAAGTATATGCTGTATGATTCCATTCATACATGAGTCTGTGAGTTGCAAACTAATGCATAGTGACAGGAGACCAGTGGTGTGGGGAATGCACAGATAGGGGCACTGGGGATGTGGAGAGTGATGGTAGGGATGGATTTAAAAATGAGCCCAAGGGAACTCTGCAGGATAATGGATATCTTCATTGCGGTGATGGTTTCGTGGCTATATACATGTATCAAAATGTATCAAGTTTTACGCTGTAAAAATACATTTTAGGGGCGCCTGGGTGGCTCAGTTGGTTAAACGTCTGACTTTGGCTAGGGTCACAATCTCGCAGTTCCTGGGTTCCAGCCTCACGACGGGCTCTGTGCTGACAGCTCAGAGCCTGGAGCCTGCTTCAGATTCTGTGTGTGTATCTCTATGCCCCTCCCCTGCTTACTCTGTTTCTCTGTCTCTCAACAATAAACATTTAAAAAAAAATACATCTCTCAGGGGTCCCCCAAGACCACCCCCATGTCTGGTGATTTACTAGGACTCATAGCATCCAGCATATAGTTGTACTTGTGGCTTAGAGTTATTACAGTGACGCGGTATGGATATGTGGCCAGATCAACGAGGGAGAAAGACACCAGGAAGAAGGGTCTGGAGGAATCCATGTGCAGACTTCCTACGTTCTCTCCCTCCCATGAGGGATCCCGCAAGCACATCTTCCCTCCGGCAGCAAAACTATAACCACAGGTGTGCAATGTTAATGCCCTGGGAAACCCATGTAACGTTTAGGGGTTTTAATGGGGGCTGGTCACATAGGCACCTCTTGCCCTCCCAAGTGTTTCAGGGTCCCCAAAGGAAAACAGGTGTTCGGTGCCTAGGCAGACAAAACAACTTTATCAGCATAAGGACTGTTTCAAAAGCCAAGTTCCCAGATGCCATCCGAGGGCCGGCCTTATAAGCAGTTTTAGTAATCTCAGAACTATTCACTCTTTCCTGCAGTCAGTTCTACTTCAGTAGAACTTTTTAAAAATCCTCATATAAGTTAGTATGAGCACAAGGCAGTGGTGATTAATTTATTGAGAAAGTAATAGACCATAAAACTAATTCCAGATTTGTGGACGACTGATGCAGTGAGATTTTTATTACCTGGAATGTTTCACACTCTTAAATTTTTTTTTTTTGGAGTGAGGTGAGAGATTAATAAATAAAATTGGAATTCCTGGCAAATGGGAGCTTCTGGTTACTATGACTTTCACTTGAATTGTACTTGAAAATATTTCCCAAGTATATAATTTTCCTTTCATAAAAAAAAAAAATCCTTGATTGGTAATCATTATTTTAACCATTGGTTAACTGATCATGGCTCAGTTGTATAGTAAATATAAGGTAAAGCTTTGGTGTTGAACTTGTAATGACAACAGGCCCTCCGAAGGCAGCTGTGTACGTCATGCCCCAGGACACCCCCAGCTGAGAGGGTGAGTGAGCTGAAACCAGCCTGGACTTTAATGGCCAAGCTGCCAGCCCCTGCACGTGTGTGTGCTCAGGAAATGGGAACCTTCTAGTTTGCACAGAGGTGTCATGTGGGCTGCTTACGGCTTGTTCAACACGTCCTCTGGCGGTGGCCGTGGTTTGCCCAAAAACGCTGCCTGCCCAGTGCCAGGAAGCTTTGTTGCGAACATGTCTTTGCCCTTACAGAAATCCAGTAAATAAGTTTGAGTTGAACACGGTCTGATGAAAACTTCACCAGATACAACAGGGTGTGTGGGAAGAGGGCCAGCCTCTCCAGCTGCATGCGTGAGGTGTGCTCCTTTCTAGCTGGACCCAGTTTCCCTGAAAAGGCAGGATGTAGGGTATGTTTTTCTTTTCGTCACTCTGGAGAATGCCTGGTATCTGTTCTGTATCTGAATGCCATTATTACTTTTTTTTTTAATTTATTTTTTAATGTTTATTTATTTTGAGACAGAGCATGAATGGAGGAGGGTCAGAGAGCGAGGGAGAGAGAATCTGAAGCAGGCTCCAGGCTCTGAGCTGTCAGCACAGAGCCTGACGCGGGGCTCCAACTCACGGACCGTGAGATCATGACCTGAGCCGAAGTCGGAAGCTCAACCGACTGAGCCACCCAGGCGCCCCCATTATTACTTTTTTTAATGTTTATTTACTTTTGAGAGAGAGATGGGGCGTCAGAGTGGGGGAGGGGCCGAAAGAGAGGGAGACAGAATCCGAAGCAGGCTCCAGGCTTCGAGCTGTCAGCACAGAGCCCGATGCGGGGCTCGAACCCACAAACTGTGAGATCATGACCTGAGCCGAAGTCAGACGCTCAAGCAACTGAGCCACCCAGGTGCCCCTGGATGCCATTGTTAATGCCCCCAGCCAAGATTTCTGTGTTGATAACAATAAAAAATTCATAGGAAGGCAACTCCTCTGGCTTCTCTGAGTGAAATTTTTGCTGCTACTGAGTTTCCTAAAGGGAAGTCACCCTCAGTTCGGAAGACGCAAGGTATGCAGATCCAACCTTGAAACCAATAGAAAATACTTTTGATGGTATAGCTTAGCTTCAAAAAAGTGCCGTTCAGATATTGACACCCACTTTGTTTCTCTTAAGCCTTGAGCCGCCAGCTGAGTTTGTGACCGAGGACGGCCGATGGTGCCAAGCAGCTCAGCAGCAGCCAACTGGGCAGCAGTCTGCCAGCAGCAGGGTTCTGTCCGGAAACCTTCAACTTTTGAGTCTCCAGTCTCTGCCTCCCCACCCCTATTCTCCTGTGTGGCTCACATTTCTTTCTTCCCTTCGAGTTATTTTCTAAGGAAACTTAAACCACATCTCTTTCCCCTTCTTATAGATGCGAACTACACGCAAGGTCTCTGTCTGGCCAGTGGGCCTGGTTGGCGGGCGACGCTATGAACGTCCGTTGGTGGAAAACGGCAAAGTCGTTGGTTGGTACACCGGCTGGAGAGCAGACAGGCCTTTTGCCATCGACATGGCAGGTGAGGAGTGTGGATGGTGACGCTTGCTCCTCCCTGATCATTCTTGCCGGTGCCGCTGTTTATAACCTTGTCCTGGAGGAAGGAAGCTTTGAAAGACCACTTCGGTTAAAACCCCAGATCGTATTCTGTTCAGCAGATGAACTATCTGAGTAAACTTTCAAGACAGGCGTTTTGATTAATTGAAGCAGAAATGGGTTTTGTGGGCAATTGGAAAATGCTCATTCTGTTCCATTTTTGTCAGCTGTTTGTGCAGCTGTCCCTTCGTCCAACAAATGTTTGTGCCTTTGCTGGGCTGGGTGTCAGGTCAGTGGTGAGACCTAGGCTGGGCCACTACCTGTACCTTTCAGTGCTAACTAATGCCAGTTAGTGTCAGTACCTCATGTGCTTACTGATAAATGTAACAGTGATGTGAAATTCACAAGCTAATCCTTGTCATGCTTATTGATAAATTTGGTAGTTACTGATACATTTAATAGCTGGAACATAAAATTGGATTGCTGGCTTTTCAAACACTTATTAACTGAGCATAACTGTCTTTTAAAGTTTTTATTCTCTGACCGGCCAACTGAATTAAGACCTGTAGTAGTCGACAAGTCCTAAAGTGCTATGTTATCATAAAGTGACTCAATTTCTGTGGGTTATATAAAATGATGCCTCTGGTAACTGGAAGGATGCAGTTTAAAACATGAGGCGTAGAGGCGAGATTCATCACTGACATCTAACCTAGAAGATGGAGGCAGAAAAGCTTCAAAATTAATCCCATCAATCTTCAGCTCTGGAACACAGCTCTGTCTGTCTGTCCCCCTGTGCTTAGCCGGTCTTTTGTGTGTATTTCCCACCTGCAGTCGAGACCTCCACGCTCACAATGCCGATGGGATGAGGGCTGTGTTCTGAACTGGATTCATCATTTTTATTCTGACGACACTATAAAATTGAGGGAGCAAGATCATGAAGGATACCAGGAGTAAGAGTTATTGGGGAAAGTTCTTGCGCATGGCACGGTGGCAGCTTTGTCACGGGAGGTGACAAACTAGGATATTTTTACTCCGCATTTAACAAACATTTCCTGAGGGCCAGTTTTGTGTAAATGTGTGCCATGGTCTCAGACCCCAAGGACAGCTTGGAGTTCTTACCCTTCCCTCGTCACCCTGTCCCGGGCTCCCCTCTCCAGCCCTGGCCTTGCCCTTTGGTCTTCAGTTCTTGCAGCCTGGGAGCTGAGCTGGCCTCTCAGCCAAAGCATTTTCCTGAAGACAGATGGAGAGTAGGTCAGCCATATTTAGAAGGTCCTGAGAATTCCCAAAAGAGGCCTTTCCTCAGGCAAGTGTGAGTTCGTGGCTCTGAAAAGAGAAGGCTGACCATAATGTGTCTTCTGAGAATCTGGTCTCTTGCTGATAAGAAGTGGAACTTTGCCTAGTGTTCTCTAAGTTTTCTGCTCAAAGTCTTTTGCTTCCCTGGGACTTAGTTTCCCTGCGTGTGGAATGAGATGTAGCATGAATGACCTCTGAGGTCTTTGTTAATGTACTCTTCCTTCTCCTGGCTTCCATCAAAGAGCTCAGAGAGAAGCCTGGGCCCCTGGATTCTAAGTGAGGGTTCATGGCTGCTAAAGCAGCCTGCTGACAGGTGTTTGGTTCTTACTTTTCCCAGAGCCTTGCTTCACCACAGGCTGGGCAGACCTGTCCCCTAACACACAAGATCTCTGTTTATAACCCTGCATGGTAACTTCAAGGTGAGGGCAACTTGGGTAAGTCTTCCTGGATTTTGTTATAAGAACTTTACATAGATGAACAAGTATCCAGTAGACCCACTGAACATCTGCATTGATTCCCCTCAGAATTTGGATCCAAATAGATATATTTAAAATTCAAGAAAGGCGCATGGGATTTATACATTAGGCCTGGCCTGTGACAAACTATTTGATACCTTTTCACTGCTCTGGGAGACTTTGCTCCATGACATGACTGATGTTTGGCTTTTTCTAAGCATTTCAGTATATTTTCAAAGCATCATATAAGAAGTATCATAAAATATGAATGATTTGCATGTTTCCTAATTATCCTTGTTTCAAAATAGGAATAAGATTTCTGTCTTGAAGAAAACAACTTTTGCCACACTTAATTTTCTTCATACGTGAACTTGCTTTGCAAATTAGTTTTCAGTAAATTATTAGTATTTTTGGACGCCTTAAGGGAGTGTGATTTAGTTGATAGTATAATAATTCTGATTTGGAGGGAGTTCTCATTTTAAAACTTGAAAATTCACAGCTTCGTTTGCATTTCACTTAAGATTCATGTACTCTCTGTGGGAAGAGGGAAAAGACCTTTTGGACCTTCATGTACAAATGGTGCTTCCCACTTCATTTCTGAGTTGTAAGCGCTCACAGTCTAGAAGGAGAGAGAAGCAGGAAGCCCAGTTTCCTGCTGCACTCTAGAAGGTCAGGGAAGTCCTGTAGAAAATGGTCTGTGGTGGCTGAGGGAAAGGACAGCGCTGGAGCCTGGGTCCCTCCTGGATTTTCACAAACTGATTAAGAATTGAAACTTAACCAACAGGGAACATTTCCCCAACTGTCTTGCTTTGAGGGGTGAGCACATTTGTAGAAGCCCCTCAGGGTCTGTCCTGCCTATATTCCTGGGAAGTCACAGCATTGCCCACCACGAGAAGTTTATTTGAGTATCAGACATCGGAACCGTAAGTTTTCATGTCATTCAGGGAGACAGATTTGGTGTCTGTCTTTATTTTGCCGTTTTGGACTTCATAGTTGCTATTTTTGCTCCCAGATGAGGAAACGTTGTTTTGGAATTACATGTACGATGTTAATAGAGAAGTAAAGATTATTTCTATTGCCCTGGGGAATAGTTAAAAAAAAAAAAACAAAAAACTTGGTAATGATTGCTACTGAAAAACAAAAAACAAAAAAGTTAAAGAGCCACCCACAAGGTGGAACAGCATGTCGGAGGCAGTCCTTGCCCTGGAAGCCGCACGCAGGTGGCTTCTGCAGTGGGTTAGCGGCCACGTTGCTCTGCCAAGCCTGTGAAACCTAGAATATGTCTGCTTGTCTGAGCCTCGGGCTCAGCTCCTGCACCTCGGGCATCTGACCACAGGCTGGTTCTTACACGAAAGGCAAGGCAGCCCACACAGAGGTTTTAGCTCTTTTTTGAAGTCAGGGAGTTACTTTCAAGTGACAGACCAACATTGGCCACTTCCAGGGACGTGTCAATAAGAGCCATTGCCTGAAAGAACTGAGCTTAAAGTAATCTCGAGCCTTGCCAGGAGGTGTAGACTTGTTCAAATTCAGAACTTAACGCTGAGATTTGTTTTGAATTCTCAACGTGTGCATGCACTTCATGCTTAACTCTGAGAGGTGGCAGGCGGGCACTGTGCTCCTTTGATGAGAGTATATTCCGTTCCCAGTTGAGTGCCTGGCTTGCAGTAGGGACTCTATTCCGGTAAAAATCCAGCCATGTGCGCTGTTGTTCAGCTTCACCACTCACCACCCAGAGTTAGCTCCGACCCCACACAGTTGCCCTTACTTAACCAGCAACACTCTGGGGGTCCCCAGGACAACTGCACTCCTGACTGACTATAAATTTGTTTTTCTCTCAGGTTTGCCAATTTACTAGAAGGGCTCCTAGAATTCAGGATCATGCTCTATTTCTACCACAGTCTTATTACAGAAGATACATATTAGGACCAGCCACATGAAGAGACACATGGGGTGAAGTCTGGCAGAGAACGTAGTTTCTGTGCCTTTTCCTTGTGGAATCAGGATGTATCCCCCTCCCAGCACATGAATGTGTGCACAGCTTGGGAAGCTCCACTGAACCTGTGTGTTCAGAGTATTTAGTTGGAGTTTCATTATGTAGACATGATTGATTGGATCAGTGGCCACCACACAATTGAACTCCGTCTCTAGCTTCTGTCCCCAGAGGTCGGCAGTGTGGCCCAACTTTCCAACCTTCTGATTGTGTATTGGGTTTCTCCAGTAACCAGCCCCCACTCCGGAGCTGTCCAGGGACCCACAGCAGCCACCTCATTAGCATAACAAAGTCACTCCCAACACTCAGGAAACGCTAAGGCTTTTATAAGCTGCACGATGAGAACTAGGCACAAAGACCAGATCGATTTTTTTTTTCTATCATCCCACAAGCTCAAAAAGGATAACTTTCATAGCATAAAGAAGAGTGTGTACCACATCTCTGTTTTCCTAATGCTTTCATCTACAAAAGCAAAGGGTACATTAGGTGGTGTCTCAGGGTCACTTACAGTTTCCTCTGTGGATGATTTCATGCCTCCTAAAAACGAGATGTGATTGTGAAGTGATACAATAGCTTCTCCCATATGCATTACAGAGAGGGATGAGAAGTCTAGGAGGACTGTCAGTTTCCTAGCCTGGAGTCCTGTGGACATGGGTGTGTTGAAGTTCTGGATTAGATGAGCACCCACGGGTGACATCCCAGGGAGCAGTCATTTAAAGTGGCTGTAGGGGGGTGGAGGCCAGGGAAGGGGGCAGGGCCCATCCTGAGGGTGGGGAGGTGGACCAGTGGCAGCAGTCACCAGTGGGAAAAGGTGGATGAGTCCTGAATTTGATTGTTGGATGCCTTGTGTCATGGATGTGAAAGAGGAGGGTGCTTGGTGATTGTGAGAATGTGAGAGCCAGAAGCACATAGATGGTGTCATGGAGATGGTTGGTAGCAATTAGGACCTTGTAGGCTGTTCCCTGGAACAGGGGATATATGGGAGAATAGGTGGCCTGAATTCAAGAGGAGTAAAGGTTTGTCAGAATTGCCTGAGGAAAGTTAGACGTCCAGTAGAACAAAGAGGAGGAGGAAGTTCAGTCCCTGAAAGGATTAAGGAGGTTGCACTTGGGCAGGAGAGTGATCACAGAGGATGTCATAGAAAGAAGTAGCTGGGAGGCCTGCAAGCAGATCTGTGTAAGGAACAGGATGGGTGGGAGGCTTTCTGAGGTCTGGCTCTAGGTGGTGTGAGTTTTGACAAGTTCTGAT